GGCGAGGGTCCCCCCTGTTGTTCGGTGCCAGCGCTCCGTTCCCTGTTCAGGGTGTGGACGGGCCTCTTCTGATGGACGCGGCCGCCGGCTGGTGCTCTGGGCCTGTGGCCACGCTCTTGCTCTCGTAAATAACGCTGTGCAACTCCGTGTGTGTGTGTGTGTGTGTGTGTGTGTTTATCTCTCATGGGTGTGTTCCTGGGGTGGGGTTTTGGGGTCAGGTGGCAACAGTGTGGCCTTTCGCGGACCTGCCAGCGGCTTTCCAAAGTGGCCGCCCCGACTTTCCTGTCCATCAGCGGGGGCAGGGTTTCAGTCTCCCTGTGTTGGCGTCCACACCGAGATGCCGGCTCGGTCTGTGCCGCCCCGCAGGGCGCGCAGTGGCCTCTCCTCGTGGTGCTCGTCTGTGTTTCTCGGGGAGGCAGGGGTGCTGAGGTGACTTGGGAAAGAGCGCTGTGCGCAGTGTGACAAGAGTGCGGGTGGGAAGGCTCAGAGTGACGGAGGAGTGTCCCCAGGGAGCCGTCCGCTCCGGGAGCCGGGTCTGCCCGCAGGTCACACCCACCTCACCTCGCAGAGCCGCTCAGGCTGCTGGAAAACCCGCCCAGCTGTCAGGTGTTCAGAAGGCACACCCACTGGGACGCGTTGGGAGACACGCGCCGTCAGGCAGTCCCATCCCGCGTGCAACACGGCGCCCTCACCGGGCGGTTACAACCAAATGTTCCATGAGAATCTTGTGGGAGCTGGGCTGTGTGCACGGCTCCTCGTCCACCCAAACGTCGTTGTGCGGGGCGTGACCATGCAGGTGAGTGCGGCGAACGCACCTGTCCCCCACAGCGCAGGAGTGAACTGGCACGCCCGGTGCGGCCCCTGTGCTCCGGTCCTGGCCCCTGCTCCGGATCTGTGTTCTCAGTGCGTGCGGTTGGACTCCCGACCGCTCCTGCGTGTGTCCAGAAACGGCACTCTCCCTTGTGAGAGCTTTCTTTGAGTGCCGTCCCACACTGTGGGTGCTTGACTCGCTGCCGGTGTTGTGCTGGGGGGAATCGTCCTGATTCCCATAGCCGAGGCTCAGCCGCGGCTTCTGGGGGCTATGGTCCGTCATGTGTCCCTGTCCCATTCACTTGTTGGTCACTTGATTTGTAAAGGACGCCCAGACGCTTCTCAGACCGACTGCGGACCCTGCGCACCTGTCCCCTGTGCGCTTGAGCGGGCGCCCTCGGGGCGTGTGCGCGGCGCTGGTGCAGAACGAGGGTGCAGTCTGGGGTGTGACTCGGTGCCTGTTCCACGTGGACTCGTGTAAACCCCCGGCTCACAAGGTGTCCTGGGCCGCTCTGAAAGTTGCGAGTCACTAGTGCTTTAAGGGAGCGTGAGCTAGTGAGTGTTCGTTGGATGGTGTGTTTTTGAGACAGATGTCATGGTCTGCAATGGGGTGGCTGCCAGTTACTTTCCTCAAATGGCTTCAGTTCAGACCTGTTTTTCGTTTCAGCTAGCAAGACCAAGTGAACATGAAATTTTAATAAGACAGAATGAGGCTCGTTTGAGTCTGGGGTGAACCTCGCCGGAGCACTTTCTGCTCCGTGAACCGGCGGTGTGCCATGGAGCACTCGCGAGTCGGCGCTGCGCAGAGGGCGGCCTGCAGCCCGTGATGATGCAGCGGGCGCTGGTGCGCACGGGGCGCAGTGCGGCAGCGGCAGGCCAGGCGCCCCGCGGGCTTTCCTCAGGCCCCGAGGCGCTAGGGAAGGCTCGGCCCGGGGTCAGGAGGGGGGGTGGGATTCGCCGTCCGGACGCCCTGCAGCCTCTCGGATTCTCGGGTGGAGGGGCCGACCCACGGCGGGCGCTGCCTGAGGCCGCCCGTCCGCAGCCGTCCGCTTTGCTGCACGCTCTCTCTCCTGCCCTGGGGCGGGGCGGCTAATGCTCAGAGAAGTGACTTGGTCGACCCCAGACCCGCTTGCAACTGCTGGGAGTTGGACTTGAACCCGGGCCTTTTGATTCTTAACACTGGAAGTCTGCCTACCAAGGTCAGGGATGCCTCCTTGAAGTTTCTGGAAAGGGACCGTGACTGATGGGTTGTGCTTGACCAAGGCAAGCTGACTTTATGGTGGTTTTCTTCTGTAAGCAAAACTCAGTTTCCATGGATGAGGAATTCAGACCTGGCAGCGGGAGAGCCTGCTCCGTGCTGCCTGGGGCGTCTCTGGGCGGCCTGGGACCCGGCGGGAACAGGGCGGCTCACTGCCATGTGAGTGGCTGGCGCTGGCCGCCAGCCGGGCCCTCAGCTCACCGGCGCGTCTTGCACGTGGGCCTGTCCCTGTGGCTGGTTTGGGCTTCCTTGGAACACCGGGCTGGGGACCAAGAGAGACCCCCAAGAGAAACAGGTAGAAGCTCTATTGTCTTTTTAAAAAGTCACGTCCGTATTGAGATTCCCATATTATTCATCCTTTTGACAACACCATTCATGCAACACCATTTACTCATTTAAAGCAGTGGATTCCGGGGTACACTCGTATTTGTGTGCCCGAGGCTGGGTCCCCCTCCCCGCAGTTCTAGAGCATGTTTGTCCTCACCTTGGGGAGAAACCCTGTGCCCCGCCCCCGCAAGCAGCTGGCTGTCTGCTTTCGGTCCTGCAGATGGGTTAGTTCTCGGACATCTTAGGTGGATGAAATGTGACTGGCTTCTTGCACTTTGCACATATCAAGGTCGGTTCCTGTTTGGTGTGTGTTGGCTCTTCGTGTCCTGGCTGCGTGGGACACCGTTGCGTGGGTGGGGCAGGTGACGTTTGCCTTCATTTCTGATGTCAGTGGTTTGAGTCTTCTCTCTCTAAAGATTTGTTGACTTTGTTCATTTTTCCTTTGCCGTTTTCTGAGGCTGTGTATTTCAGAAGTAACCAGGCCGGTGGCTTCCCAGTGCTGCCCCGAGTGCCTGCGAGGTTCCTAGGAATTTCGTCTTCTCCGTTAGGGGCGGTGGTTGGGCACCGGCCCCCCCGAGGCTTCCCCGGAACAGCCCTGCCTTTGTCTGCTCGGTGCTTCCACATAAAGGTCCCTCTGAAAAGTCGCTCACTGCTAGCACCCCTCACACACGTTGAAGGACACCCACAGGACAGCGAAGCCGAGGCTGCCTGTGGTGATGCTGGACTGAAGCCGGGTGGACACGTGCAGAACGCCGTGACTGTGGCCGAGAGACCGTGTGGCTTCAGTGCAAACACAGACCCTTGTAGGGGTTACAGACAGTGAGTCAGGCCGGCTTCCACCCCGAGGAGGCGGGGACGAGGACTGGAGGTGGTCTGGCTCTGGGTGAGACAGGCCAGGCTTGGTGACAGGCATTCTTGCGAGGTGGTGGCCTTGGTGACCCACCAGCAGCCTGGCCTGCGGCAGGCCCCTGCGCTCCCTCCCTGGTCTCCTCACCCCTCCAGCTCTGGGCCCCTCATTCCCTGGCTCGCGGCCCCGTTCCCCCTCCCCAGCCAGCGCTGCGGCATCGCTCAGAGCCCCCTCCACGGGCGAGGCCCCCCGTGAGCCCCCACGGAGCCACGAGTGGGCCGGGTCCACCTGGGTGACCGGGCGAACCCCGAGGTTCGTGTCCTTACGCACACTCACAGAGCCCTCTTTGCCACGTGAGTTGACACGGTCACAGGTTCTGGGATTGGGATGTGGCGTGTTTGGGGGCCCACGATGCCACCTATGTGACAGAGGAGTCCTCTGCTTTCAGGAAGGCACCGCACATCAGCAAGAAAAGGGTGAGCGCCCCCTCGGAACGGGGACGCAGACCGCCAGCAAGTTCACAGAAGAGGCAGTGAAAATGAGCAGAGAAGTTCGAGCAGTGCCCCTCACTAACCCCTGAGGGGACGCACCCCTGCATGGGGACCCTGTGGTCACGGCTCACAAGAGCACGGATGGGGTGGCGGGAAGTGCAGGACTGCACTGGGAAGCCCTGCGCTCGGTGCCCCCTGGCTCTGCTTTGAGTTCGTGTGTGCCGCCCACGTGCTTCCTCGGCAGTCAGATGGTCCGTGCAGCGTGAAGAAGCGCACTTCGGTGGGCTGGGGGGTAGGAGGGGCCCCGGGAAGCAGCCGTGATGTGTCGTGGCTGGGTGAAGCCGCAGGCTTCCATCTGCTCCAGAGGAGGGCGGCCGTCACCCGCACACTGGATGGTCCGTGTCCGCGTGCACCGTCGCTGCCTGAGTGGGCCGGCCTGCTCCCTGCGTGGTGTCTGGGGGGCGGTTCCCTGGCGGACGATGTTGCTCTCAGAGACCTGTGCTTTGTCCAGCCCTGCCCACCGTCGTGGGCGCCGTAGTCTTCCTGCGTGTTTCTCCTGGTGGCACGGTGGCTGCAGAACCCCAGGCCTCGTGTCTGTGTTCCAGGCAGGAAGAGGGGAAGGTAGGGCCAGGGGTGTGCGGGCCACAGCGTCTCCCGTCAGGCGGGGAGGACAGGTACACGGCCACCCTGCCTGGACGTCCCCAGGAGGAGCGTGTGGGCGGCTGGCTCTCTGGCTGGGTCTCTTCGTTTCCACCTCTCGTCCATTAAATGCGCTCTGGGGAGAGTGAGACTATGTAACAAAACCACCGTTAGTTAAGCCTTTGAAAAGGGGCGTTTGTCCTTTCTGTGCTCCAAGTTCCGTGTTTAGATCAAACGGTGTGGCTGCAAGTCTCCTGTCGGGCATGTCGGTCAGTGTGCAGTCCCCGCGGCACGTGTCCGCGTGCAGGTGCTGCTGGGGGAGCCCCCATGGCTGGCGGCTCCCGGCAGCCTGTCCCTGTGGCTGGTGCCCGAGGCTTGGCTGGTGTCGGTGGGGCTGCGGCCCCTGCGTGGGGCCTGCTCCCGGGAGGGCTGAACGCCTGCTTGTTTTGGGGCCGTGGGCAGTGTGGGGCCATCCGTCCGCCCAGACAGCTGGAGGGCAGCCGGGCTGCTGGCGGGGAGCTGCCTCCCTCCGGCTCCTGGGTGTTTGAGTGGGTCTTTCTCCCGAGTTGGTGGTGGGCCCAGGGGAGCTTCGAAGAAGCTAATGTGTCTCCCTTTTCTTTTCAAACAGCATCCAGCACGTGTATGGTGCCCAGCACCCCCCTTTTGACCCACTGTTACATGGCGCGTAAGTGAGGCCTCACTGTCCTGGGGGTGGTTGGCCCGGGCCTGGTGGCTCTGGGGGCCTGCCAGCCCTCCCGCATTCCTGGGGGGGAGGGAGTGGCTGTTGGTTCAGCAAAGGTGTGTCGGGCACCGGCTGCAGCGAGACACTGCTGGCCTTGTCCAGCGAGTCCTCTGTGTGGAGGCCAACTTGGAAGCCACGGCTCGGAGCAGGGCTGCCTGTGCAGGGCACACGGAGCTGGTGCCCCCTGCTGGCGGATTCGTCTCCCTCACAGGGCATGGCCCCCTGCTCGGCTGCCTGAGGCCTGCTTGGCCCTGTGTTGGGCTCCCGACCAGGGGCGGCGGGAGGGCGGGCTGGCCTTGCCCCAGAAGTTACGGGTCACAGAGCAGCCAATGTCGCTTGCAGTTGTGCAGTGGGGGTCTCGTATCCCCATCCATACCCCCAAAGGCCGTGCTCTGTGGGCGGCCCCTCTGCCCCCGCGCCCAGCGCTGCCAGGGGAGGGTGGCAGGGACACTGTGACGAGAGAGTGGGTCCTGGCCAGGCGAGGTTGGGGTCGGCCAGGTGCCTTCTGCCCTGCCGCTGGGCATGGCCGTGCCTGGGCTCTGCGGCCGGTGAGCCGGGTGTGCTTTCTCCGCACCCTCCCACTCCAGTGACGCCAACAACCGCGCTCCTCTTCCCCAGGGTGGGGGCTCCCTTCCTCGGTCCGTCCACTGAGACCCCCTGTGCTTTGCAGCTTGCTCCAGGCCACGCCCAAGGTGCCCGCCACCCCTGTGAGGGCCAGGAGGGTCAGCACCTTCCAGGAGTTTGAGAGCAACACCAGCGACGCCTGGGACGCCGGCGAGGACGATGACGGGCTGCTGGCCATGGCGGCCGAGAGCCTGCACTCCGAGGTGGTCATGGAGACGGCCCGCCGCGTCCTGCACAGCCACAGCCAGCGGCAGGAGCAGCTCAGGCGGCAGGAGCCTCCGCCCGTCCCCGGTGGGGACCTGCGGCTGGTCAAGTCCGTCAGCGAGAGCCACACGTCCTGTCCCACAGGTGGGATGGGGACCTGGGCTGGCGCGCGTTTCTGCAGAAGGAGACGCTCCTGCTGGGGATGGTGGGGGCCCCGCCCCGCAGGCCCTCAGGGTTGTCACCCAGGTGGCTCCAGGCAGGAGGAGCCAGCACGCTCCTCTCTGTACCCCCGGCCGAGGGCCTCTCTCCACCAGGCAGAGTGGCAGGGTGTGTGGCCCTCCCGGGCTGGGTGCGAGAGGGCCACCATGAGCACTGGGGCCTGGGGACCCCCCTGCTCCCCCCACAGGCAGGTGCCTGTTGCTCCAGGGGCGTGTCCAGCCCGGGGCCTGGACGCTGCACGCCCAGGGGACAGACTAGGACTTTGGCAGCTTCCCGCAGGGACATGCCCACAGCCAGGGTGGGCCCCTCTGCGGCCATAGTCCTGCATCCGGGGGTCCGGGTGGGACTGCGCAGGTGCAGGGGCCCTGTGGTGGGCCAGTGCTGTGCCCGGGGCTGAGGGGGACCCTCACACAGAGTCAGCTCACCACCTGGTGGCTGGATTCTGAGACCGGGTACCAGCACCACCGGCCCTCGGGAGGGCCCCTCCTGGGCCCAGGCGGCCGGCTGGCTCCTCACCGGGCCTCCTGTGGTGGGGAGCGGGCGGGGGAGGCGGAGGCCGCTGTCTCCTGACTCTTCCCAGGCACTAATCCCCTTGAAAGAACCCCCCCCCCCCGGACCCCATGACCTCATCCTGATCACTCCCCTGTTCCGGGCCCCATCACATGGGGGGGGGGGCTTTTTCACAGGAGTTTGCGGGGGCACAGCACTCAGCTCCTGATATGTGGCGTGTGCTTCGGGGAGCCGACTGGAGCTGGGCTTGGGCCGCCTCCCCTAGCGGCGTGGAGCCTTCGGGCGGCCGCCCTCGGTCAGGGCCAAGTGAAGGGCATTGCAGGCAGCCTGTGCTGGGAGGGGCCTGATGACCGCTTGCCCTTGGCCCCCGTGTCCCCGGAGCAGGGCTTCTTCCCTCTGCCCTCTGGACAAGCCTGGTGTGCGCACTCGCCGTGACAGTGACGGCCAGCGTCCACCAGTCACTCGCTGCGCGGCAGGTGCCGTAACAGCCCCTGTCGTTGCTTAGCTTGTTGACCTCACAGCAGCCTGGGCAGGGTTGGCAGCAGAGAGGGCGCGTGGCTGCCGGAGCAGGCCCTGGGCTGGGGGTGGGGTTCAGACCCAGGGCCTGGCCTGGAGGGCAGGGCATCCCAGCCGGGGGATGGGTGGCAGTGTCTGGGGACAGTCAGAGCTGTCCCACCGGGAGCCGGACCCGTGTGCTGCTGCACGTGTGGGTGGAGGCCAGGGATGGGGCTCTGTCCTGCTCGTGCCCAGGATGGGCCCCCAGGGGAACCACTGCCAGCACAGGGACAGCGCGGGGGGAGAGACCACTGGAGCCGACCCCTGGCTGGGTGCCCCCGGTCTCCTTGGGAAGCCGGCCCCAGTGGGGCAGGGTGCTTGGGTGTCTCCATGGTTTCCCCCTCGCTCAGGTCAGCCATGGTGTCACCTGATTCTTGCACAGGGAGCCCCGTGCACGCGTGCTACCTGGCACACCAGCAGGGGCGGTGCATGCGTGGGCACTGCCGTCCCCGTGAGAAGCAGATGGGACTTGGGGTGTGGGGTACGTCTAGTGGCGCTTTGGGGTGGGAGCCCCTGTCTGGTCTCCTCGAGGAGGGCCCGGGATGCGTCCGGGAGGCTCCTGGGGGTTGAGGCTGTCTCTGCTCGGCGGGGCGGGGCGGGGTGGGACCCAGGCCTGGCCCGCCTTTGCTGGAGGCGGGGCTCTGCCCACCAGGCCTCTGCCCCGGGAGGGACCTGCTGCAGAGCTCACCCCCATCGCTGACCAGGATGGGGCTTCACACGGCTCCGGTGCGCGTGCCGACCGGCTCGGCGGACCCCGCCCACGGGCCCACTATAGGGTTGGGGAGACCTGGTCCCTGCTCTTTCTGTTTCCTTGGGGGCGATGCTGCCCTCCCAGTTCTACTGCCCCACCTTACAGGGGCCCGGAAGTGTGCTCTGTCCAGGAGGGAGTGGGTCCTTCCTTGGCGTGGCAGCGTCTCTGGGGGCATCGCCAAAATCAGAGAGAAGTGACACCCAGCAGGTTCGGTTCCAGAACCCAGCGCAGCCACCCTTCCTGCGGCCTGCAGCGCGGCTGAGCGTGGGTTCTAAGGAGTGGAAGGAGCCAGAGCTGTGGGAAGGGCCGGGTGCTGCTCTCTCCTCTGGGCCCACTTTTGCAGGCTTTTCTGGAAGCGTATCTGGGCCAGACTCTGCCCAGAGGCTGTGGTCTGCGCTCCCCAGTGCCTGAGGGCTCCTGATGGTGTAATGAGCTGGGGGAGGCAGGAGGAGGTGGGGGGGTTGGGGGGTGGTGTCTGCCCGCCGGCCCGGCAGCAGCCTCCACGCGTGGGTGGCGGCCTGGTTCCTCCACGGGGTTTGATCCTTCTCATTTCTGGGAGTTATTTTTCACTCCATTTTAAATTTCAGTTTGAAGATTAGATGGATCCATGGGTTTTAGCCCTGACCCTCTTGCTGTGGGGTCTTTTGTTGGTCCTGGTGGCTCTGTCTGGTGACCTGAGAGCCTTCGGCCCTTCCCCTCGGCTGTCCCCGTCCTGGGCTGCTGACGTACTGCCACCCTTGGGCCTCTGGGGCCCTGGGCGAGGGCAGAGCAAGGGTGCACTCGGCCCCCACCCTGGCCTCGCCGTGGGGTGTGGTTTCTGCGCTTCCCTGTGGAGCTTGGGGATGTTGGGGGGGCACTCAGTCAGGCACTGGGGTCCCGGGCTTAGGACGGTGGGTGCGGGCTCTCGCCACATCCTGGTCCCCGGCAGGCCCTGGCCCGTGCATCTGCGCAAGGTGCCTTCCTGGGCTGCACGCCCGTCCTGGGCGCCCGGGGCTGCCCCCCGATTCACTCGGGAGCCCGCCTCCCAGCCCTACTCGGGCAACCTGACTGGGGCACCTTGGCTGCTGCCCAGGCTGGAGGTGGTCTGCAGTTACCTGGTTGTCACCCTGTCCTGCTTTTATGTGGGGTGTGTCTGTGCCCCTGGTGAATGACACCCCACTGGAAGAGGGGAGGGGTGGCCATCACAGGCGTTGGCCCGTTTCACTTTACTGCCCCAGAAGCTGGGGTCCGCGCTGCTCAGTGAGGGGAGCTAGGGCGGGCGTGGCCCCTCGTGGAGAGCATGGCCGTCGGGAGGCCGGGTGGCCACTCTCACCTCCATTCCCTCTCCCTCCGCAGAAGGTGCCGGCAGCACCGTCCCGCTGCAGAGGTCCCAGTCTCTCCCCCACGCGGCGGCGGCGGCTGCGCCAGGTGGGGCGTCTGACCCCGGCACCCTCAGCAGCTCGGCGTTAAGTGAGAGAGAGGCCTCCCGGCTGGACAAGTTCAAGCAGCTGCTCGCTGGCCCCAACACCGACCTTGGTAAGTGCTGAGGGTGGGGGGTGTACACCCAGCTTGCTCTGGGGGGGCCGGTCTGTTGCCCTTTTGTGCACTTGCTTCCCTGGTAAGGCCCTCGTTCAGACGGGTTTTGTGAATGTGCTTCTAGTGCCGTCGGACCGGGTGGCTCCTGCTCTCTCTTCCCAGGGCCCTGGTGGCGACCTCCTGGCGTCACAGGGACGCCCTGGGCAAGCCGGCGGGGCCGGAGGGCGGCTCGCTGTTCAGTGCACGCGGGCACAGCTCTGCCAACCCTGCCGAGCTTGCCCGCTCCTGCCTGGGTCTTCAGCGGCCTGGAGGGCGGCAGGCTGGCGTGCTGCAGGGGGCCGGGCGGGCTTGGGGAGGCCGCCCCCATTCGCCATTGCGCTGCCCCAGGGTCATGAGACCCGGTGGACGCTCTGAGGCACCTGCTTGCGTTCGTCTGATAGGACCCCGCACGGGGTCTCTTTGTTGAGTGCACGCTGTGCTGGGCATTCCGCTGGACGCTGCAGTGTTCAGAGTGGTCACCGAGGCCCTGCTAGGTGGGAGGTGGGGGGAGGCTGTGCCAGGGTGGAGCTCTGGGGGCTGGGTGCCCCTAACCTGCAGCCCCCTGCTCGGCCAGCAGGTGGTGTGCGAGGCCCGTGGACGGGAGGCCCGTGGACACGGCTGAGCCCCCGCCCACGGGGGGCAGCACAGGGCTGTCCTGTGGCTGTGAGATGCTGCTCCGGTCTGGGTGCTCCCCTCAGGGTGGACTTCTCTTTCCTCCTCATCTCTGCCCTTGTGCCTACGGGGGGGAGTCACCCTGCACTGGGGTCCCTTCTCCTTCCCCACTGCCCCACCCCTCCTTTGCTGGTCCCAGGCACCTTTGCCCAGAGGTGGCTCAGGCAGCCATGGCCTGAATCTTTTGACTGTGGCGCAGCCTCGGGCTCACAGGGAAGCCCTGAGAATGGCGCCGTCCACCCAGACTCGGAGAAGCCCCCCCAAACGCCCTTGTTACCTCTGCCCCCCTCCCTTCCCTGCGTGTGCCGGGTGCGCCCTTGTCCCCTGGCCCATGGGACCAGGTCGAGAGGCCTCGTCCCCTGCTCCTGGCCGTGCTGCTTGGTGCTTCCGAGGACCGGGATGTTCTCTCTGCACAGTTGCAGTGGCGGCAGAACTGGGGCGCACCCGGCCCAGCCCCGCGTTCGCGCGCTGACTGCCGTCCCTCTGGGCCCTGCACCTCCCCCTGCTGGCTGGGAGCCTCACTGGGCCACGTGCTGTGCTGCCCGTCACATCTGTGTTTGAGGGGGCACCAGAGGCTGAGCCACAGGGCGGCAGCAAGGTGGGAGCTCTGGGGTGGGCTGCCTGCTCCAGTGCTGGCTCCGCAGCTTCCTTGCCATGACCTTGACCTTGAGCTGGCTTGGCGACTGCCACGCCCAGTCCTCTCGTCCACCTGCAGGGGTTTCGGTCCTCATGCCGGGGGTGCAGGGGTGCAGTTCACGGGCAGGGCCTGGGATGGGCAGTTCACTCTGTGTTTCCACCGGTGCTGGCCCTCTGTCTTTGTCTGGTTCCGCAGCGGGCACACAGGCGGTCCCTTTGGGAGTGTCGGTTGGGGACGTGACACAGTGGTTTGCAGACACCGTCTTAGGTGTGTGCTTGGCGCATCCTGACTTGGGCATTGGGGAGGGAAACAGGGTTCTTGACAGGGACCTCTGTTCCGGGCCAGGACCTGAGCCCTGAGGTGGCGGCTTCTCGTGGGCCTTCCTGGTGGGGCGGCTTTCTAACTCAAAGTTGTGTGTGAAAGGACCGCTTTTAAGGCCCTTGGGGAGTGTGAGTGTGCGTGGGCAGGTTGCAGGGCACCGCGTTGTAAGTCGTATTTTGTTGTTAAGTTGGTGGGATTATGGGTTTTTCTTTCTTCAGAATCCTATTGAACTGTCAGATCTAACAAGTAAGAGCCAAAGCCGGGTGCTGACAGTTAAGCAGTTGCTGCATCTGTGGGCAGTGGTGGGCGGAGACGGAGGGTCCGGGCTGGCTGCGTGAGGCGGCGGAGCGGGTTAAGTCCTGTGCGTCATCTTACAGCTTTGGTTACGAATGGTGTCAGTCCCCGTCCGTGGAAGAGGGGCAGCGTGAGAGATCGGCCTGCTCCTGCGTTTTCTGCGACCTCTCCTTGCAGGTGAGGGCGTCACCTGCCGGTCGAGCTGCGGGGAGACCGGAGGCCCTTTTCTCTGCCTGCAGGAGCGGAGGAGCCGAGAGGCGGGGAGAGTGTGTGTGGCCCCCGGAGCGACTTGCTCCTCGCTCTCTGCAGCCCTTGTCCCTGTCACTTGGCTCTGTCACCTTCCGCCTCTCGTGAGCTTCACAGTTGTGTCCATCAGGCCACCTGGTGGGAGCTCCGCAGGCGCTGGGACCGCGTCCCTTGTGCTCACGTAGGGGCCGGCGGCTGGCCCACAGCGCGGTCTCAGGCGCTGCCGGAGGGGTTACGAGCACCCCGTCGGATGTGTCCGGTTCCCGGGTTACCTGGTGTCGAGGGGAGCGGGTTAGGAGTTGGTTTGATTGTGGGTTACAGAAAACCAGACTTGCGGTTCGCTTTTACAGACAGGGGTTTGTTCTCAGCCAGATTCTACCTGACGGTGGGTAACAGATTGGTTCTCTGCAGCATGTGCAAGACTGGGGGCTCGTGGCCACCAGGCGGCGGCCACTATCTTGTGGCGAGGGGAAGGCAGTCCTAGTGGCATCTGTGTTCTCATCAGGGAAGCAGGGTGTGACCCGAAGTGGGTCACATGGCCACTCTAGCTGCAAGCGATGCCCAGAAGGTAGTCGCCGCCTGTGGGTTTGGCCACGGCACTTTGCATTTGGCGTTCCGGTACCGGGAGGGGAAGCGGCGGGTGTGGGCAGGCAGCCAGCTGAGTTTGCCACCTCACCGGACTTGGTTCCTTGAGGTCCGGGACTGTCTTTCTGGTGTCGTGGCATTTAACCCGCGGCTGCTATCTAGCAAGGCTCCAGGTATGTGGAGGACTCAGGAAGTGTTTGGACGGTTTCCAGCCACAGGCAGTGTGCGTGGGGTGTGGAGGGGACGGGGAGTGAACTCTGAGTGCTCAGCGCTGGTGGGATTTACAGCGGGCCCTGCGCGACCTCGCTCCAGCCCCGAGGGAGCTGCGATTTCGAAGGGCCACACACCATCATGTCGCCGGTGTCTGGTCTCAGAAATGGGAGAAACTGTCTTTGTTTTAAGATGATTTCAGTTCCTTGGAATTTACATTTAAAAAAAGGAAGACCTCAGACCATTAGAACTGACATACGGAGAGCTGACCTGGAAAAAAAAACTCAAGCTGAGAAAGAGTGTAATTGTGTGTTAAGTTAGAGAAGCCGATGCACTTCGGCCCCAGGAGCCGTGGGTGTGATGGTGGTTGTTGCCCGCGGCCCGAGGACGCAGGGCAGGAGCCTGAGCGAACAGAGGTGAGCGTCTGGACGGACGCAGGCCACCCCTGCCTCCGTCCAGAGTGGGCAGAGCAGTGGGGGTCCTCCCTGGCCAGCCCCAGGGCAGGCGTTGGGGGGCTGGGCTGAGGAGACCAGGGCTGGGGGTCCGACCGCCTCCGGGGACCCGCTCTGACCGTTGCTGAGCGGGGAGAGCCCTGCTTCTCCCCAGGTACACAGGGCACTTTGTCAGGGGACGGGCGGGCTCTGCGGCCGCACACCCTCCCAGGTGGGCTTGGGCTTGAAATCTGCATCCTCTGAACTTGCCGGTGAAGTGAGGAGGAAGGGGATCCTCCAAGGAGATCCGGAAGGGAGTGGAGAGAGACCGCGACTCACTGTGGGCAGGCGGCGGTTGTGGGGACTGGAGTCGAGGCTGTTTGACTGCCTTGGACTCTAATCAGGGGCTTTGGGATGGTGGCTGCGGTGGCTGTGGTGATGGTGAGGGTGATGGCGTGGGTGGTGGTGATGATGGTGGAGGTGGTGGTGACAGTCACCGGGGTGGTGGGGGTGGTGGCCACGATGACGATGAGGACGGTGGAGGGTTGGTGAACTTACAACGGAGTGCTTGCTCTGTGTTGGGTGCCTAGAGCTACGTGGGGTCCCCAGGACGAGCCCGGAAAGGGCTCAGGCACAGACCGCAGTTCCCCTGCTGTCCTCCTGTGTCCCCCGGCGTCCTGTGCTCCCCACTCTGTACCCCGTGTCCCTGGAGGCTCCGTCTGGTCGCTCACCTTCCCTAGGAACGTGCGTGGAGGCCGGGGCTGGCCCAGCGCCCTTGCTCCAGGGGCCTTCTGGTGCCTTTGGTGGTCTGCTCGGCCCACGAGGCCCAGAGAACTCCAAGTAAGAAGGGAAGTGGAGTGTGTTTAAGACAAAAAGCAAGAAAGTAGAGAATAACCGCGGGCAGGGTGCCGCTGTGGACTCTGCCCCTCCCAGGCCCTGTGTTGTGTGAAGGCCCCAGTTGCCCTCCTTTCCCAGGGACACGTGTGCTGGGCGGTGGGGTGGCAGGAGAGGCCTGGTGCCCTGGTGACCGGGCGTGCGGAGATGCGGTGGAGGCGGGTGAGCCGTGAGGGCTCTGATGGCGGCGGCCCCGAGCTGTGAGCTGAGCAGGTCTGCACGTCTGAGCGGTACCCTGGGGGGAGGGACGGCAGGTGCCACCGCTCACCCGGGACAGAGCTGCTAGGGACAGAGCATCCGATTCGTTTTGTCACTTCACAGGGACTGGCGGGCTGCGGCCCCTGCTCAGCAGTGCACAGCATTCCGTCCAAACCTGGTCTCCGGGCGCACGGGCTGATGGGCGTGCGTCTGTCTGCGTGGACACCTCCCAGGTGGCCAGGCCCCGCACTGCCCGGGGCCGCTCGTGGCCGTGGGCCCCGGGAGCCCCTGCCTAGGACTCGTCTGTGAGGGCAGGTGCCGGGCGGCGTGGCCTCGGCCTGCTGGTTGGTCCTGGGCAGAGAAGCACAGCTCTGCCGTCAGTGTGATGACACTGCTGTCCTTGTCCCCTTGGCCGCCTGCGGAACACCCGGACTGGCCGCTCCCAACCCAGGCCTGTTCCCCCAGGGCGGGAA